ATGCCCCTTAGTAGGGACGAAGTCATCGAGGATCCTTGCAGACAGCAGCATGCAGTAAGCAGGGGCCTACATAACTGAATGCTCCTATGAAACATCTGTAAAAGCCGGATGAAACCATTCTTCCGTTTGTTTGAAAGTTTAAGAGGGGTCTACTACACAGTATTGCTACGATATGCCTGCTGAAATTTGTATAGAGCCATTACAAAACAAGACTGTAGCGCCCGTACAAAGCCAGACACCAATTTGGGGAGAAGCCGCCTTGCAAGCGCGCTTGAGCGCGGCACCCCAGGCGCCGTAGAGCTGCCTCCACCTCAGAAACAGGAAACAACGAGTCACGGAGCAAAAGGAACAACAAACTCAAAACAGGGCTTCGTAGTTTTGCGGTTTATAATTTAGGGTTTAGGGTTGGTTCAAGGGAAGGTTGCATGTCCTCGTCAGGTGCTTTACATTGCCCATCGCGATCCGTCAGAGATTCGAAGTACAGATGAACATGCGGGAAACCATTCCCCTGACAGCGAGTGGCTACACGGACCATTTAAATAGCATTAATAATGGTACCAATTTCATAATAATAGTTATAATGTTCATTATAAAATCCTATTCGCAATATAATGTTATACTAATGATAATTAGGATTGTGTCGGACTTGTTGCATTGTAAACTTCCTCATGCCCTGCTGAGGACGAAGCTGCAGCCGCTTGCTCGGACCCGGCCTGTCTCGGGCGCTTTAGGCTGGACGCGTTCAGGACGATAAAAATACCCTACGTTAAAGTAGGGTTTAGGGTGGAATCTTCCAGGACGATAAAATACCCTATGTTAAAGTAGGGTTTAGGGTTTAGGGTTTAGGGCCCAAAATTGATGTAAGGTGCATGCCTGAATGAAGGGATGTATGAAGACTGTATAGGACCTTCTGCACGATAACTACGGGTATTGGTTTTCGATGGGAGTTTCTTGTTTATTGCCCACACAGTGTGACACAAGCACCCTAAACCCGTAATTAATAGATTAGGGTCCGCGCGGGGCGGTTTGTGCTCACGTTCGACTGCAGTTATCTGCACAAGATCCGTCGGGTCCCCCGCTCCCGAAAGCCGCCTGTTGATTCATGCAGATGGGGAGGCGCGGCTTGGGGTTTAGGGTTTGGGGGTTTAGTAACGGGTTTAGGGTTTGGGGTTTAGAGGCTTAGGGTTTAGGGTTTAGGGTTTAAGGTTTAGTCCTGGTGTGGGAAACAGTCTCGTCGGGCATGTCAACCTCGAGTCTCGGTAGTAGATGGGTACCTAGACCCTTACATGTAGTACCTTTTTTTGGTTTACCCTAGTTTCGTATTATAGGATCCTGACCATACCAGGTCATCCAATAAACGGACTACTGTTGATGATATAAATCCTGCATTGCCTTAAGGACCCTAACTATGGGAATTATGGTATATTCCTTATGGGTAATGCAGGATTTACATCATCAACCGAGCATTTAAGGGTCTAGGTAATGGGGGTCTCTTGGTGGTCTCCCGGTTTTTTGGTGATCTCGTGAAGAACTCCTCGTGGCACGGATGATGATATAACTCCTGCATTACCCATAATAAGGAATGTACAATGATTTCCAGAGTTTCGGGTCTTCCTAAGGTAATGCAGGATTTATATCGTCAACAGTATCCATCATGCTGGTCGTCGTCGTCCTGGTCATCCCATACTCCTGGTGGTCCAGGTGGTCCTTGTCGTCACGGTTGTCGTGGTGTTCTATCACGTTTGGGGATTTACGATAGCAAATCAACTTGTCGAGTTCATTATTTCTGCGGCTCGTTCTCAAAAACCCCCCATTGAAGTGTGATTAGGGCCAATAGGGGATCACGCGCATAAACGGGACCTGTCTTGAGGCCGTGCGGGCGGAAAATACTTTGAGCGCCCATGATCCTGAAGTTTGTTGTTCTGGGCTGAGTTTACAGGTTTAGGGCTTTTTTTTGAAGGCCTTTTGGTGACCGCACGAGTGCGCCTCCAACCCTTTCGGGCAGGCAACTGGGTCTCGTTGAGCCCCTGCCATAGCATACGGACCCTTAGACTCCGTGGCACAAACATCCAGTGCAAAGTCAAAGTGCCAGGAGGCCCCCCTGCGACCAAAAATCATCTCAAGCCCTTGCATGTGCACCCTTTGCACCCTGCACACCCTCGCTCACAAGTCACCATTAGGGGTTTAGGGTTTAGTTTAGGGTTTAGGTTGGGTCTCTGTTTTCAGATCGAAGCGGTTGGTTTCATTTAGGCTTCACCACTGAAGAAACATGCCAGCAGGAAGAGGAATGGAATCAGCCCGAAACCCTATGTACGAACACTTCAACCCTACATCTCCTCAAGCCCAGAATAGCAGGATGCGCAGTCTAAGGACCACCAGGCATGTCCCGACACTCCACATCGCAGTGCAGAGTGCAGACCCTCAAATCTCGACTGCCGAGACCGCAAAGGGTTTAGGGTGTGTAGGAGACCCGAACCCTAATTAAACCCCTAAACCGCATAGGAACCCCCATATAAGCCCCAAATGCTGCATCTAAGCCCTCAGAAACGACAGGAGTGTTTGGCTGTTGTTGCAAGCCCCGATGAGGCAACTGAGGTGCCTACCGGAAATCAAATTCAGGCTTGTTCTAACAATGTTGCTTTCATGGTATCGAGGGTTACCTGTTTCAAGCGAAGTTTACAACAACACGTACCCCTGCAAGGAGCTACAAACCCGAACCCTAAGCCCTAAACAAAACAAACCCTAAACCCTTGCTGTCCGGTCCACCATTTTGAAACATTCCTGGACGGCCTCACCGAGCTCCGCTCAAGTAAGACCCGAAACTGAGGTCAAACATTCCATGCAAGGGACATGGCAAGTTTTCCATGTCTCTACAAGGGGGGTTCCGAAAATAGGGGACCCTAATATAGTACCCTAAATAGACACCCAAATAAGGTACCCTAATGTTCGGAAAGTCTCTACAAGCTTCCCACGCAAGGCATGCTACAGCCCCTGAAGGGAGTTGCCCACACCGCCCGATAAGATCCATACAGAATTCCTTCTGGAGGCCTTACATAGAATACTTTTTGCAACCCTTATGTAAGCACAATTTGAAAGCCCGTAAAACTTAAACTCGACCTTAGAAACTACTGAACCTCGATGTACCGGAGCTCCATCTGAACCGTCTACTGAACCTTTTGGCGTAGGCAAGTCACTTCGGTCCACGAACTTCTGGGTTGCAATTGCCATTTGAGTTTACATGGGTGGGGGAGAAATCATAACTAAGGTTTGCAGTTAAATAGAGTTTCTTGGGCTCATACTCAGAAATAAGGTGTATAGCTTGAATAGCCACTGCAAGCCGAAGAAATGGCACATACGGTTGATGATACAAAACCTGCATTACCACTAGTACGGAATATACCCTCATTCCCATAGGCTCGGGTCCTCGAGGTAATGCAGGATTTATCTCATCAGCAGTATTTTAGGGGTTCCTTCATTATAAATATATACTATAAAGGACCCTAGGGCTCCAGTTACCTACATAGTAGGTTACTGGGGTACATAATGTATGGTTAGTAACCCCCTATTTCTAAGGTTGAAACCATGGGCCCCTAGTATGGGCCCTTAACCCTGGGATCCTTATACACCTACTATGTACCCTATATGTACCTTTAAGGGTCCCTAGAAAGGCCTAAGGGTTCAAATTAGGGGCCCATACTTCTAACCTTACACTATTTAGGTAACTGGAGCCCTAGGGGGAGCCTCAAGGCCTTGTCCGTGTGGCAGCGAGAGAAAGGAAACTCTTAAGGCTTTCTGGATGAGCTCACGTCGAATTAGAGTTTAGGGTTTAGGGCTTCAGGGTTTAGGGTTTTAGGGTTTTAGGGTGTAGGGTTTTAGGGTTTAGGGTTTAGGGCTTTAGGCTTTAGGGTTTAGGGTTTAGGGTTTTGGGGAGCTCAGGTCTATGAAGGGTCTAACGGCAAGACCCTTAAAGGGACCCTTCGGGTTATATAGGGGCTTTATGAGACTATATGAGGGGTACACAAGGGTTATATAGGGTATTAGAATTAGGGGTCCCTTCTAGGGGTCCCTCCTATGGTCCCTTAAGTATAAGTTTCCGAAGACCGAAATCACCACAAGGCTTAGGGTTCAGGGCTTCTGAGTGTGAGAGTTTAGGGCTGAGGACGCCGCTTTCAAGCAGCACTCGAACTTAGCCATTCAAATCGGGTTTTGGGGTACTTATGCATGAAAAGTTGGGAGGAAGGTCGGGTTCAGGGGTTCACAGGCTTGGGGTTTAATCTTTTAGGGTTCAGTCTTCTGAAACACCCATGTTGACTAATTCAGATACGCCCAGGGACGCCTAGATGCTCATCTGCGTATGTCACTACGCAGCTTTCCTGATAGGTGTCTTGTGATAATGATAAGGAGTCGCACACTGCGTTCGCCCGCAAACCTTCACAGGAGGTCCCTACGCAGTCTTAAGTTCGCATGGTAACTCTTTCCAATGAGATCATTCGGTGCCCCGGGCTCATAAATAAACACGCTCACGACTGCAAGTACAGTAGCAGACTGACCTGGTATGACTGGCCAAATTTAAAAATCGTCAAACAGTCTGTGGTCAAAGGCATGACTGTGTCGGGGCATGCCCCCGGCAGGACTTTGCAAACACTTGAAAACACCTAGATTTCACTGACCTTCGCCACCCAACACCATGGAATGCTCGTCGGACGACGCTGCAATACCAGGGTTTTGGACTTTAAGGACTGATTTTAAGATGCCGCAGTCACTAAGGCAAGTGAAATCAAGAGCACCCGAAACGGGGCCAGTGGGCTGAAACTTCTGCCGCAAAAGCCATGATCAAAACTCGGCAGGGGAAAGGCTACAACGCAGTGCATTTCCTGAATGGTCAGTGGACCGAGTAAGCAGGTGAAAGTAAGTTTGGCAATGACGTAAACAAGCAGGGTGCTGACCATGCTCGCGATAACCTGGTTACTATGTCCCGGGCTCCTTTAAGTAAAAACAGCTTACTGGTGCCAGCATCTATACCAGACGAGGCTTGCAAAAATGCCTGCGCAACCGATCCAGAGAAAAACCAACCAAACACTTCCAGTATAGGCACCAACTGCACACATGGCTCCCACCACGGTTAAAGCCGACATCACCAGAAAGATCATCAATGTTTGAAGGTGCCCGTTCCATCTTCCACTTGGACTCACGATGCGCTTGCTCACGAAATCCAGAAAGACCATACTGGCTGGAAGCCAAAGCATGTTGTTTCCTACAACCACACTCACGAAGTAGGACAGGATACTCTCCGCCGGTGCTCCGCCTTTGCAGAGGGCAAGGAAGCCCTCTAAACACAATGCGTTGATGGGCGTCGTGGCGAGGAAGATGTAGGGAAGTGTGAAGCCACAGGGCTTCACAATGCCCAGGACCTCTTGGCGAAACGGGCCTCGCACGTACTCAGAGAAAGTTTCTAAGCTCCCATACCAACGTACAATGGCATTGAAAATGGCTTGTCGATCGAAGTCATTTGTGCAGTCTACACGATCGATGCTGAAACACTCGAGGTCGTGCAGGAGCTGGTGCCTCGACAATATACCTTTCCGCAGTGCATGCATTGCAGGCAGAAGGGAACATCCGGCAAGCATGAACATGCCCCCCACCAGCATAGTCTCTGGCCCGTCTGCAAGGCCTTGCCGATGGTACCAGTATACAGCACTGAAGCAGTGCATCCATATGTAGATTTGGCAAAGTACCTCCTCGACGTACATCGGTGATATCACAATCTTTCCGGTTGGGTTGAGCTTGCGGTATGCCGCAATTTCGAAGATACACCAAAGACGTGACCTAACTCCGCAATGCAAAGATGCACTTGGGGGAGAAATTGTGAATTAAGGTGTAGGGTAACATGTGTACCCTAAAAGGTTGCCTCCTCAGCCCACTACTCAGCCTCTTTGAAAGCAGTACTTGAAGAGCACCCTGAAGTAGAACAGCCCTCGCCTAACTGTCACAGCGTGAAACTCAAAACCAGCAATCGACAGGAGCAAGCGGCAGGTATGGTCCGCTCCAAAGAACGTGCAACTCCGATGATGCACTAAGAAAGGATCCAATGTTGTTAATCCCCTGTTGCATGTCCACTTCGTCTGTCTGATGAATGCAGGCAACATCAAGAAAGCAGATATCCTTACTTGTCCAGGTTGCAGAGAAACTAAACTAGTCCGTGAGTCACCGAAAGCAGGACTAGACTGTCCAAACAGGGGCTACGGCTACTTGTGACTCGGCTACCAAGTTTCCGACCACCCAGGCGACAAGGTGGGAGCGCTGAGAAAACCGCCCAGGGCAAAAATGGCACCGAAGACCATAAGCCAATATCCGACTGGGGTGTCCGCACGGAACCCTATCGCAAGACTCTGCCAGCTCGCCGACAGAGGAAGTATGTCAAACATGCAAAGGGCGAAGGAGAGCGCAATACCAAAGGACCAAGCAAGCAACATGAAAGTGCAGCCCCGCTGGAGAAGCAAGGAAAGAACCTTCCATCGTCCCGGGGTCAGCCAAGTGTGTGAGAAGAAGATGTCGAAGTGTTTCACAGGATGGGAATGGCCGTTGAGCCTCGAGCGTCGTTGAAGGCTTAGCTCAGCAGGCCTGATTTCAACACAAAGCGGGCTTTCAACATAGCTGGGTGGGGGCTCCTTACTAAAACAAAAGTAAAGCCCTACCTATAGTCTTCATTGTAGTCCTTTTTTTTGGCTTAAACAATTTTATATTAAGGATCCTAAAAGGTAACCCCAATAAGGAACTACAATGGAGACTATAGGTACTATGGGATCCCCGCCAAAAGCCCCAGTTGCTACAAGCGCTGTTGGACTCATGCGAGCCTGTATCGCCAGATTCGGCCTGCCCGCCGCATAGTATCCCGCAGGCGAACTCCTCGAAGAATTTCTGCTGTGCTCCGCGTGAGATCTACGGTAGCAGGTGGCTCAGCCAGTTCACACTGACCACCAGGAGCTTGACTGTCAAGCCTTGGTACCGCAGTGTCACCTTCATACTAAGGACAGCATGTGTCCCATTATTCGGCTTTGATCAGGAACCCCCCAAATCCAAAACAAAACCTTGAATTCCCAGGCTAAACAGAAAAAAAAAAAAACGGCACTGCAAAGGGGGACCTAGACGCTCCGGTTCGCCACCGCGCTCCAGCTGAGACTCTGTGCAAGATGTGAGGTCCAAAACGGATGCGTGGGACTCGACTTCTTCGATCTCGCATTGTTCACCTCGGTTCCCAAGCATCCCCTTCAATTAAGCAGCTTTCACTTCGGGGCCGAGTACCTTAGCCCAAAATAGGTAACCTTTTGAACCAGAATAGGTTGATATAAGCCCCAAAATAGGACCTAAACCCTAAACCCTAAAAGGTTAAAGGTTACCTACTCAGCCCCTTAGTTCGTAAAAGGACACCCCGAAAACAGAAGGCTAAAAAAACGGTACTATTGAGGTACCTGGCACTCTTGGAGCAGCAGCTACTCTGCTTCAGGCCCATGGCTCCGTTCTTGGCAAAAAAAAAGGTGGGTTTAGGGTTTAGGGTTTAGGGTTTAGTGGCACAAGATCCGATTGGATGAAACAGCCTTTGCTCCCGTGATCGGACTCGAAGCTACATGTCAAAAGTTCTTGGGTGGGTCTCTATGTGCCGCAGATCGTACGGCTTACTCAGCTTACTCTTCCGCAATCAAGGCCCGAACTAGGCTTCTGACATTCGACTGGAAGGAAGTTCTTGGAAGATTCCACAGATCCTGTCGGCTTATGCTTTGGAGCCGTTCTGTTCCGATGCGCAGCGCGCGCGGCCCCTGCTTCATGAATCAAGCCTGATACTCCAGGTTTCTCTTGCAATGTCCGCCAAAAACCTGGCGCCTTAAGCCACCAAAATCCCAAATCTGTAAATCCCAAACCCCAAACCAAGCCACAAAATCCACAAAAACCCTAAGCCCTAAGCCCTATAACCTATAAACCCCCAAACCCCAGACCCCAAGCACCCCAAGCCCGAAACCTAAACCCCGAAAGCCTGCAACCCCGAACCCCACGCCTGTGCCCTTGAGTCCCAATATTCAGAGCCACGGTTTAGGGTTTAGGGTTTAGGGCAACAGCCCAAAGGAGGGGCTTGAATCAGAATAGAGTGTGGGGGCTCGCCATAGTATGATTCTATAGAAAGGAACCCTGAGAAATGGGTTTTACGCCTAAACCCTAAACTCTAAAACCCTGAACCCCAAACCCTGAACTCTAAACCCTAAACCCCAAACCCTAAACCCCCCAAAACAAGTTTTTATCGTCATCGGGACCTTCCCACGACGAAGGAGTGCTCGGAGCTTGTCTCGCTGCAGACGTCGCAGTTCGCTGGGAGCCTCCTGGATTCGCTTTGCTTGCCCGGTTTCGGGTTTTGGGTTTGGGGTCTAGGGTTTGGGGTTTTGGGGCTT